CTAACAACACCATCTTCGATCTCCTGTGCGACCGTTGGGGCACTCCTACGATCGACATGTTTGCTTCTCGAGCAAATGACAAATGTCAACATTACTGTTCTCAAGCTGGTGTCGACAAGAACTCGATTGGAGACGCATTCATGATAGACTGGGACCAGGACCTACTCTATCTATTTCCTCCCATACCACTCATACAAACGACCGTCATTCGACTCCGACAGTTCCAGTCCAATGCAGTCCTTCTCGCCTTATGGTGGCCGAGGCAACCGTGGTTCACTCACCTCAGGTCAATATCATCTGACTCATTCAGGCTCCCTCTGATCCCCAATCTTCTCACACAGGACGATGGGATGATCTACCGCCAAGACATACCATCTCTGAATCTGACAGCCTGGAGGATACTCCCGCCATAAAGGATGTGCTTGATCGAGCTCGAAAGCCCTCAACCCAGCTTCTATATCAAAATTAATGGAAAGCATTCCTTTCCTTTACTGACTCTTATAACTTACCTGCAACACCAGTTTCTTTGAAACTTACTTATCTTTGTCCTTCATCTATTCAGTTTTGAATTGGCATATTCCACTTTGAAAGTCTATACCTCTGCTGTTGTAGCTCATCAACCTCCCAATTCTAAATCAGCTAAACTTTTTTCTTACCCAATTGTAAAAAGGTTTCTTAAAGGACTCAACAATATTTGTCCTCCATGCCAGCATATTATCCCTCAATGGCCTCTACAACTTGTCCTTAATACACTGATGTGTCCACCATTTGAACCTATGGCTATGTGCAATCTCAAATTACAGTGGTGCCTCGCATAACGTTTGCTTCGTTTAACGTTTTTTTCGCTTAACGTTTATTTTTTCAGAGTCAGATTGTGCTTCGTATAACGTTTTTCCCTATGGGCGATTTTCGCATAGCGTTTTTGGGACCATGCTTCGCTTAACGTTTTTTGTTTTAGGTCCCCTGCTTCACTTAACGATGTTTTTGTTTTCAATTTAAAAAGTGTCTTAGAAGGGTCCAAAACGGTTCTAAATGCTTGGATTCGTTAGAGGACCCCTTAAGTCATGTGCAAACCTGATTTGGCTTTGATCTGAACTTTCGTTAATTTTTTGTAAATTGTTTTCTCCCCCATAGGAAAGCATGGAGCTGTCAGATTTTGACAGGTCCATTGGTTCCTATGGGCCAAAAAACAAAAATTCACAAAAAATTAACGAAACGTCAGAGCAAAGCCAAATCAGGTTTGCACATGACTTAAGGGGTCCTCTAACGAATCCAAGCATTTAGAACCGTTTTGGACCCTTCTAAGACACTTTTTAAATTGAAAACAAAAAAAACGTTAAGCGAAGCAGGGGACCTAAAACCAAAAACGTTAAGCGAAGCATGGTCCCAAAAACGCTATGCGAAAATCGCCCATAGGGAAAAACGTTATACGAAGCACAATCTGCCTCTGAAAAAATAAACGTCAAGCGAAAAAAACGTTAAACGAAGCAAACGTTAAGCGAGGCACCACTGTAATCCGTATTGGAACGGTAACCGCAGGCCGAAAAGTCCATAGATCGAGGGTCCCTGTCCACAATGGTACAGTGGACCCTCGACTTACGGAATTAATCCGTACTGGAACGGTAACCGCAGGCCGAAAAGTCCATAGATCGAGGGTCCATTTCCCATAGGAATGCACTGAAAACCCTCTAATCCATTCTAGCCAAAGGAAAAAAAAATCTCGGGCTTCGAAAGCTGCACCTGCTGCCTTCTGCCCCGACATCTGCGCCCGTTGCCGGCTTTTGGCTTGCTGGGCTTCGAAAGTTGCACCCGCTGCCCTCTTGTCTCCTGTCCCCGATGCCTTCTGCCTCCTGTCCACATCCCCTCCACAGGAGGCAGAGGGCACCAGAATCTGCTAAACGGGCTAGTGAACTTGCAGCCCTCCGTTCCGATACACCCTTCCCCCAGTTCCATCCGTATAAAGCCACATTGTACTTTGATGTTTCCTTCTCACCCAAAGTTGTATCTGAATTTCACCTTAATCAACCAATTATCCTATGAACACTCTGCGTCACCATCAACACCTCTTGAGTGCATGCTCCATTCAGTTGACGTAAGACGCTCTCTTGCCTTCTACATTGACAGGACCAAGCTTTTCAGGAAGTCACACTGACTTTTTCTGTGTTTTCACAGTCATCACAAAGGGGCACCAGCTTCCCCACAATCTGTTTCTAGATAGATTGTACAAACTATATCATTGGCGTACAAGTTACCAGGCAAATTGCCTCCTGAACACTTAAAGGCACACTCCACCAGAGCGCTGTCAACATCCACTGCCTTCCAGCATGGGATTGAACTCCCTCACATCTGCCGTGAGGCCACATGGTCTACTCCATCGACCTTTATCAGACATTACCATTTGGATGTCGGAGCACAGAGTGATACTGGTTTTGGCAGAGCTGTCTTGGCATCCTTTCTACTGTGACATCCCACCATCCAGTAAGTGAGCTTGCTAGTCACCCAATTGTGTGCATTTACAGAGGCCACTACGAAGAAAGTTAGGTTACCTACCTGTAACCATGGTTCTTCTAGTGGTCCTCTGTGAATCCATACATCCCATCCATCCTCTTCTCTGTCCGTTGTGTTTTATCTTAAATAGCTCTTTTACCCGGCAGACATTTTTCAGGAACTGAGGAGACCTAGGATGGGTGGAGCATGCGCTCTACGGGGGAACGTCCCACTAATCATGTGTCTTTAAGCTCTAGAACTGTCTGAGACATTCAGCGCAGGTACAGAACAGCCCAATTCTGTAGATTAATGGAGAATGACTCGAAGAAACATGATTACAAGTAGATAACCTCTCTCTTCTCTATAACCGTGATTTCCACTATCCACGGTGGCTTGGAACTGATCCTCTATGGATACTGCATAATAGCTGTATGTCTGGCGAATGAACCACTCACTGTCCAATACTCAGCATGGCACTACACAGATCTGGTCAAAGGCTGGGCAGTTATAGGTTGTCATCTTCCTGTGATCCAAAAAGCTAAACAAGAAGTTACCTCTTACATCCTCCTTAAATCTAGTCATTCTCCTGTTCTGGAAAGAGCGAGTCCATGTTACTGTTCTGATGTATTGGTTTTAATAAATTTTGGATGAAGTATCCCCTTCGTTGTAAGAGAAAGAGAAAAAGAGGGGTGGGCATTTTTGTTTTTTGTTTTTCACATTCAGCTTGCTTGAAGTGGGTGTGAGTATTTTTGTTTTTGATATTTTGTAGCTGAGTGTCTTGAGCCCCCTTCACAGCAACATGTTTTATATTTCTCCTTTGAAACTCATATGACTATAGATTGTAGGAGGCTGAAGACAAATCCAGGGGTTCTTTCCTCTATTTGTAAGAAAGACACCCATATATGATTCTGTGGCTTTGAAAATGTCTCAGGAACTAGTATAGTCTGTGTGTAGACGCAATGTCCAAGGACTAGTTGTATGCATGTACACAGTGTTTGTTCATTTCAGAAAAGTTACAGATGTTTCCATTGGTTGTGATCCACCTCTGATTTCCTTTTTATGGGAAAATAAAGAAAGTAGAAGTAGCACCTTCTATATTAATGACACTAGAATTGATACCATTACTTATCTCCTGATAGTTGTATTTTTGCACATGTGATACAAATGCTCAGAATTAACCTATAGCTCTTGAGTGTCATTGGAACTAGTACAACTAAAACTGTTCAGATACTCAGAAAGGGAATAGAGGAGTCAAGGTTCTTAGCCCTCTTAGAGATGTTTGTTTTCTGGATTATGGAGGTTTTCTACTCTAGTTACTGCTTGTGAGACTGGAACTTTTTCTCCCAAAGCATTCGGGATTAGCCTTACTGGAACACCTGACTAGGGCTTAAATTGGGGGGAACATCTGCCATCCAGTTGCTTACAGCAGTACCAAAGGTTTTCAGTGCTGCCTTGAGCAGTGGTTGTCTGGACTAATCTATCTCTTCCCATGGGATGCAGGTCAACTTAATGAAATAATATTTGAAGACCCAGAGTTCTTGACTGACTATTTTACCCTGCCTTTCTCCTTAAAAAGAACCCAAGGTGGAGTACATCAGTAAAATGCAGTATTTAAAGCAACAACATGTCAAAGTAACATACTCAAAGCAAAAAGGATTAAACAAATAACATACTAAAAAAGAAACACCAAAACATTTTCAAAGCAGTAAGTTACAACAATCCATTTAAAACCCTACTCAGGCAGCCAGTCAATCAGGGAAAGCTTGCCTGAAGAGAAGGGTCTTCACCTGCTTGTGGAATGACAGCAAAGGTGGGGCCTCCTGTGGGAGGGAGTTCCAAAGTCTGGGAGCAACAACAGAGAAGGCCCTCTCCTATGCGGCCCACTGTTAGGTTGGCAGGGCCAAGAGAAAGGCCTCTCCTGATGACCTTAACACTCATGCAGGCTCGTAAAGGGAGTTGTAGTCCTTGAGATAGTAATGTTGGACATTACTGTGGGTGATCTATTGTGGCAAGCTATCACATCTTTTTTCTGTCTTAGATTGGGGTGAATTTGGCATACAAATTTAGAACAGTTTTAAGGTGAGCATTATTTCAAAACAAACCACTATGAGAAAACATTACTCAGCCCATTTAAAAAATAGTTTTCCTTATTTAAAAGACTTGTGAAAATAAATGTTTACTTTATAATTAAAATTTCATAGAAGAATGTTGCCTGAGCAGCTGCTCTTTGGAGATAATTCCATAATTGAAGGCCATGTGCCTGAGCAGCTGTATAAACTATTCCAAGAAATGAGTCTGCCTTCTACAGTTGCACATAGTAGAGCCATGACTGAGCACTGAGGGGTTTTGAAATAAAGTTCCTGATGGAGTACAGTTCTGGATTGGTGGCCTCTTTCAGAGTAGAAATGACATGAGTACAATTCAGAAATTTTCATCATCACTGTCTTCTCTAAAGCCGTGCATTAAATTGTGCTGTTAGATTTTATAACTGAATTTGAGTATCTTCATTATAGGAATGATACCTCCTAAACCACTACTGAGAAGGGATCAGATGGAAGGGACAGGAACAGGATCAGATTCTTTTGATCATGTTACACGATCAGCAAGGGAGCATGGTGTACCACTGTCTGAACCACGCATGATATGGGGGTCAGAACCCTATTCTTCCACAGAGCCTCAGCAGGCTAGTACCCCTCCAAAAATCTTAGAAGAAAGTGAAGATCTAAGGTAAGCCTTGGAATTAGCTTTTCAAATGTTGTTTTTCTGTACAATCTTCCTGAATTTTTCAAACATAGCTTCAGGTATCATGTTGCAAAAATGTGATTAACATTTTTTATTCCTAGTGTTTTGTCTTTTCTTAGAAACAAGTCCATTCTGTAGGTATAGTTACTTTTATTGGACAGCTGATAGATAGGAACACAACAAAAGGTGGAATTCCAGGCCCTTTCAGCTGTAGCTGAATTAATAGATGACTAATATGAGCAAAGAGATTATCATTAGAATAGAACTGGTAGTAGTGATGAGGAGAATAAAAATTAGTGATCATTTTAGCAGTTACCTTGATTTGTAATGAAAACTCAGCAGTTTAGTCTGTTTGGGAAATCATTGTATTTTGTGTTTTTTTTTGTTTGTCTGTTTCAAATCTAGATAATTGATTTCATGGTACTTTGATAAGACTTGGTAGCTACAATTCTAAAGTTGTTGTTCTCTATAATGTTAATTGATTAAAGTGTGCTAGATTTTGTCAGTCCTGGCCCTAGTTTTCTTCTTTTGGCTCAGAACCAGGCTTCTGTGTTGTGAATATATATAATCCAAACAGTGGTTCCCAAACCTGGCCTCCATATATCTTGGACTGCAACATAGGCAATGTTCTGGGCTTACAGAAGTCGTAGTCTAAGAACATCTTGTGTCTCAACTGTGTCAGCCAGTACTACAGTCAGTATCTCAATTTTTCATGTTATGATACATAAAGGATTTGATGAGGCATCAGCTGAAAATGTGCTTTGCTTTCTTTTAGGCCAGATTCACTTCTGGATCAAGAACAAATGGTTGTTCAGGCAGTTTACTCAGGAGATAAGAGTCCATTGGACCCCCATACAAAAACAGACATATTCAAAGAACCCAGTGAAGAGAGCACACAGAAATCTTTGAACAGGTCTTTAGAAGATGCACAGCCTTGCCAAACTAACATATCAGATCTTCCTGTAAGTTTTGAAGTAACTGCAGAACATGTTTCACAGATCTCCAAGGAAGAGCCTGTGCCTATAGAAGACAATAATTATTCCTTGAAAAGGAGCTTTTCGCATGAATCTAACCATTCTCTGAAATCGGAAGAACAAGGGGAAGAAGCACACACCAGTGTTTCCAAAATAAACAGCAGGCACATTGAACCAAAAGAGACAGTAGTTGAAAGAGTGGATAGCAAACCAAAAAAGGAAGGGTTCCCAACTAATAGGCTGTCAGAAGGACCAAAACCTGAAAAATCCTTCAAACCTAAATCTGAAACCAGGTGGGGTCCAAGACCAAACTATGGCAGAAGAGAAGAAGGTAGTGACAGGCCAGTACGAAGGTCTGGTCCTATCAAAAAGCCTATTCTTAGAGACATGAAAGAAGAGCGTGAGCAAAGAGAAGAGCGTGAGCAGAAGAAGGAACGAGAGGGGGAAAAACTTGGAATTGAGAAAGTTGGCAAAACTGAGAAAAAGGAACCACTGCAGGTACCACTTGCCAGGGTAGAACCAGAAAATGCTATTATAGATAGTAAAAAGACATCGCAAAGCACACCACAGACGTCAGAGTCCGTAGAGAGCCCCTTGGAGTCTGTAGGCACATCTGCTGTGCAGCAGCCTCCCCTCCTACAGCAGGCATCAGTGCCTCCCGTCATGCAGCAGGCAGCAGTGATAGCACCAGTGCCTCAGCAGCCATCTATGGTCCAGTCACCCCCACCTACAATTTCCCAGCCTCCTAGTCCACAAGCTGCAGCTGAACCTCCACCCCTTACTATCCAGCCGCAACCAGTTCAGCAACCTGCTAATACAACAAAGGAGGAAAAACAGCCAGAGAAATTAATTAACAAAGAACGAACTGTAGAAAGACCTAGAATGGAAACCAGACCTGTAAAAAGGGAACCTGGTTTACCTCCTAGAACATACTGGAAAGAAGCTAGGGAGAGAGACTGGTTTCCAGACCAAGGATACAGGGGCAGGGGGCGTGGGGAGTATTATTCTAGGGGGCGTAGCTACAGAGGTTCTTATGGAGGAAGGGGTCGAGGTGGGAGAGGCCATAATAGAGACTATCCTCATTACAGAGACAACAAGCCTAGAGTGGAGCATGTGCCTTCTGGTCCTCTGAGACAGAGAGAGGAGAGTGAAACCCGTAGCGAGAGTTCTGATTTTGAAGTAATTCCAAAACGGCGGAGGCAAAGAGGCTCAGAAACTGACTCTGATAGTGAGGTGCATGAAAGTGCAAGTGATACTCTTCTATCAGACAAGGAGAGTTTAAGCAAAGGCAAACATCCTAAAAGGGAAGAAAAAGCAGAGGGGAAAAAACCTGTGAAACCCCTTTTATCTTTCAAACCTGAAAATAACATTCGTGGGGAAAACAGAGTTCTAGACAAAACTTATGGAAGGGAAGAGGAGAATAAACCAAAACCAGGTTTTCTTCCTAAAGGAGAACCTTCCAGGCGTGGAAGAGGGGGAATGTTTAGACGTGGAGGTAGGGATCCAGTTGGCCGACCACCACGGCCATCTACTCTTAGGAGACCAGCATACAGAGAAACACAGTGGAACCCAAGACAGACAGAAGCCACCAAAGTTGAAGATGGAGAACCCCAACGGAGGCATGAACATTATACCTCTGTACCACTGGATAAAAGGCCACCTGCAAAATTTGAGAGGAAATTTGATCCTGCTAGGGAAAGGCCTCGGAGACAAAGGCCCACTCGACCTCCTAGACAGGATAAGCCGCCTCGCTTTAGACGTCTGAAAGAGAGAGAGGCAGCATCAAAAATAAATGAGGCTGCAACTAGTTCATCATCAAGTGCTGCAGTGAGCAATGCTGTGAATGAGCAGCCGAGTACTGCTTTGGAGGTTTCAGGAAGTAAGACACCAGACCTTTCCAATCAGAATTCCTCAGACCAAGCAAATGAAGAATGGGAAACTGCATCAGAAAGTAGTGATTTTAATGAGAGGCGTGAGAGGGATGAGAAAAAGTTAGCAGATATTCCTGCACAGGTAGTTGTTAAAACAGGAGAAGGTACACAAACCCCCAAAAGAGAAATAGCCAAGAGAAGTTTTTCCAGTCAGCGACCAGGGATTGATCGGCAAAATCGCCGGGGTAATAGTGGACCATCAAAATCGGGACGGAACTTCCCAGGTCCAAGAAATGAAAGGAGGAGTGGCCCTCCAGGAAGAAGTGGAAAAAGAGGGTAAGTTTGTCTGCTATTGGAAAGCTATTGCAGAACCCTTTATCCATCTTGTACCATCCATTTCATCACTGGAAGTTTTAAAATGATGTAGTTACTCATATTGCTTTGAAGAAAAAAAAACAAACCTTTGTTTAATAGGTCAGAATGGGGATTTTTTTTCTTTTGAGAATCATGTTCCTTTGAAGGTGATGAGTCCAGGGATAGTGTGGCATTGTGTAAGACCAGAATTAAACATAGCAGATCTCCCCCTCCTCTCTCTCTTCATGCTATGCATTTCTCTCACTCTCTTATTTAACTGATAACTGGTTTCGTCAGGTAAAAGTAGATGACCTCTGATTCTGAGTCAGAGACCCATGGTTAACCATTGTGCCTCTTTGGAGATAGGGGACAAACAGCTGAAAGGGAACTCTCCTGTGAGTGATCAAACATCCCCCAGTCTTGCCTCCAGACAGTAGATGGGAAAAATTGTTTGCTTCTCTTCTACCTAAATAAAATGTTCAGATTTCTCCCTAGTGATATTCTTTGTGCCTTTCTGAATCTTCTTTCATGTGTCAGTATCCTGTCTCTGTACATGGTGATATGTAGAAGAGAGAATTGCCCCTTGTTAACTTCAGTAATTATACTTTTGGTTATGTATGGTAAGAGCTGCATGTCCCCAAAACCTTTGTTATACTACTAATGTTCTTTTCTGTGGTTATGTTTTTCTGGTATAGTCCATTCGAGGAACAGACACCGGTAGTAATCAGTGCAGAGCCAGTCAGCAGCACTTTACATCAGGAAGAAAGTGGAAACAGTGCTGCTGTTCTAAAAGGTTCCAAGGATGTCAACAAGAAACGTGAAGAGCTGAAAGCTTGCCCAAAGAAACCTAAAGAGAAAATGGATGCAATCTCTCAATTTGACCTTAACAACTATGCAAGTATGTACTGGAGGGGGGTCTTTTTGAGAATATCAAATGCCTCTTTCAGAGAACATTGTCCATAATTTTCTAGCGTACAGTCGTTGAAGATTTCTATTTCAGTTCCGCCAATCAGATTTATTTATATTATTCTACTGATTTATATCAGCATTACCTGATTTAGTACTAATATTTGTTTCCTTTTTGCAGGTGTTGTCATTATCGATGACCACCCTGAAGTGACTGTAGTTGAAGACTCCCAATCCAACTTAAACAATGATGGTTTTACTGAAGTGGTATCAAAAAAACAACAAAAACGCTTGCAGGATGAAGAACGTAGAAAGAAGGAAGAACAAACTGTGCAGGTTCGCGACATTTCATACTGTCTTTTTAGCATGTCCTTTTGTATAGAGAATTGCAGACTTGAGTTCCTTCAGTATTCCTGAAAAGTTTTTCTTTCCAGGCCACATCTAGTTAGACATAAATCTATATTTTTTGTATTAAAGGTTTCATTTATTCAAGTTTGTAATGCCCTGGAGCATTTAAAAAGGTACACACAATTGCAGTGATCAAGTAATTTTAAAAACTTTCTTACAGTGATTCTTTTATTGGGCAGCAATTCTAATATTTCTATTCCTGATTGATAGAAGCTGCTTTGACAGTCTTTTGAGCAAAAAAGATTGTGGATGTTAGGAAGGTTTGATAGGTAAATAGTCTGGCTCAGCATAAGACAACTTCCTGTGCTTCAACTGTGTGATTTTTTTTCAGAGGTGATTTGTGGTAATGTCTATTTGTTTCAGAGCCTAATTAAGGGTATTGGTAAATTACCTTTAAAGCATATCCCAAAAATCTTATTCTTAGGTATGGACAAAAAAGAGTTCAAATGAAAAAGGAAGGTGCTCAAATTCCAAGCTGCCACCTAGGTTTGCCAAAAAACAACAGCAGGCAACAGCGGCGGCGGCAGCAGCAGCAGCTCAGCAAGCTCAGGCTCAGCCACAGATTCCATTGCAATGTGTGCCTCATATTCCAAGTACACAGACTTCAGTTCAGCCACAAGCACAGACAACCTGTTTGGTGAACAGTGCAGAATATACAGCAACAAGCAAAAATCTGCAAAATGCACCTTCCCATAATTCTGTGGGAACTGAATTGTGGGACAATAAAGTGCCGCCTACAGCAGTCCTGAGTGACATCTCTAAAAAATGTAAGCATTATTTTTATATAGATATATATATATATTTCTGATTAGATAAACAAACAAAACCAAGAATATATGGTATCATTTTCTGGGGCTCCTCAGTTAATATTGGCTTGAAATTTTATGACCATCACAGATGAAAAAATCTGTTTCTGAGACAAGACAACCGCATGGTTTGTCTACATACCTCCTAGATTGTCCAGTCCTCCTAACCCATCTGTTCTTACGTATATTGGGAGTGCTAGTGCTAGAACAATGGATGAGTTTTGTACCTGCACTTTCTGCATGTGAAAACCTCTCAACCCATAATGAAAGCTACTTGTTGCTATGATATACTATATAGGGTGTGTTTTTCTCTGTTTTCCAAACAGAAACCTAAATCAGCATACCTGTTAGTCCCCACTCCCCTTAAGAAAAAAGCTTTCAAGTGATTTACCAGCACCATCAGCTCCTCCAGCCATTCTGGAGGAGCTGATGAGAGTACGTCCTTAATGTATACCCTTCTATTCTTTCTCCTGAACTAATCCATGGCAGCTTCTCAAGAAGACGGGTTCAGCTGTGAACTATGGTGAGAAGTATACCATGTTTCCCCGAAAATAAGACGGTCTTATTTTAATTTTTGCTCCAAAAACACATTAGGGCTTATTTTCAGGGGATGTTTTAATTTTTTCCATGTACGACACTCTACATTTATTCAAATACAGTCATGTCATCTGGTTGCTGCACAATGGTGGAGGGCGGGGTCTCACTGAACTAGGGCTTATTTTTAGGGTAGGGCTTATATTACGAGTATCCTGAAAAATCATCCTAGGGCTTATTTTCAGCTTAGATCTCATTTTCAGGGAAACAGGGTATGTGCTGTTTGCACATATAGCAAGTTCATGAGCCTTGATTTATTTCTGCCACTTTGGGTGGAAACAAAGATGCTGAGTTAGCATACATATTTTTTGTGTTCTCTGTAGATGAATATTCCATTTTCTCAAGCTGCAGTTTTTCTTTCATTCAGAAATGCTGACTTATTGGGTATCTATAGTTCCTTGGCAGTATGGCCTTGTCACTAATTTTATGTGCATGTGGGCAAATCATCGTTTTGCAGTTATCCCTTTTTGCTCTCAGATTTTGTTCTGATGGTCACTTTGTTCTCTGGACTTCTAGTGGGACCCATAAGTCCTCCACAGCCTCCTTCAGTCAGTGCATGGAATAAGCCCTTAACGTCGTTTGGATCAGCTACATCTCCAGAGGTATGTACAAGCAGTGGACAGCATGTATTCTGTTTTGTAATTTAACAACAGCTGGAGGAAAAGATAGCAAAACATCTATCTAGTCCTGTCAATAGGATTGGCATGGCTGAATGGCTGTTTCAGGTTCATGGCCTTAGAATGCATAACCCCAGCTATGCCAGCCACATATGCATTGCACTTGGGTGGGCCGTCAGAGTAAAGCTGAATGCCAACTTGGACCCTGTTCAGAGCTGCTGCCACAGCCTCCCATTTTTTTAATATTTTGTTTTCATAGCAGCAGCACTAGCTGAACAAAAGCCACATTGATGTTCAAGTCTCATTCAGAACCACCACTGTAGTAAATTTGTCTGCTTGATTAGGTGAAATAAATCTTAAGTCACCTAATTGCCAGAGAGTTGGCATGGCAACAGCAGTACCACAGCTGACGTTCGCAGGGGTGCACATTAGCAGTACCATGCTTGAACACCCCCTGAACTTTGGAAGCAGCCAAAAGATCTAATGATTATAAACAGTTTTCACAGATAACTGTCTCTTGCCACCACTGTATTAGGTTGCAAATGTTATTTTAATTTATGTTTTTATTATGCAAATAATATTTTTAAGGGCAATAGAAATATGATATAAAAATATACAAAAATTAATGAACTGGAAATTCCAAGTAAAAAAGGACGTGCCTGCATACTTTAAATAATAAAAGGCTGAGGAAATTTATAAATTGATTCAACAGAAGTTCCATGTTACTTTTCAAAGTGTAGTTTCTGATCCTTCATTTGCATTAAAACATTCCAATAGTTCTGCCTCTGTTGCTGTTTTTAAAGAAAAACATTGAAAAAGTCAATAGGTGTCAGATCACATCTAGTTAAAAAATTGAAGCTTTTTTTTAAAAAGTCAGCAAATGATCTATGATTGAGATGATACCTAAATGACATGCTGTAATTTGACACATTCAAGAGGAGGAAACAAAAATCCAACAAGCAGCATATAGTGCCTATAGGGCACAAATTATGTCAAACATCTAGCAATCCTAAATCAGCCATCTAGGCCTTAAATATGGATCTACCCCATAGACTGCAATCTCTGGAAGTGTACATCTCTCTCTCAGGTAGTGTCTAATATATTATTGATGATGGACATCCATATAAATGCATTCAATATAAGCCTAGGTTTCTTAAGTCATTATCAGATGTAATACTTCTGGTGCATCTACTGCCAGTGTTATTTTATTTACAACTACCAAACCCATCTCTCATCACAAAGGTAACAACTGTCCATATTCCCTACATTAACACATGGAATTCTTCTGTCGCCTTCTTACACATTTATATCTATTCTCTTTCTTTTTCTCTCTCTCTCTCTCT